TAAGCAAAAAGAAAAAAGCCGGAAGTGGTGCTGTGGCTCAAGTGGTAGAGTGCTAGCCTTGAGCTGAAGAGCTGAGGGACAGTGCCCAGGTCCAGAGTTCAGGCCCCACGACCGGACCCAAAAAAAAAAAAAAGGATCTCACAGACTTTGCTGCCCAGGCTGGCTTCAAACTGCAATCCATAGATCTCAGTCTCCTGAGAGGCTAGGATTGATGTGTGAGGCACCAGGACCTGACTCTTCTAACTTTTAGTACAGTTTCACACACATGATAGAGGCTTAGTAAATATTTCAATCAATGAACTCCAGATGTGTTTATAGAGCAAAGTTAGTATACAAGGAAAAGAGTGTGGTATTAATGGCCACTAACAGGAACACAGTCTGTAGGCAGTGAAGACCGAGTCAGCACACACTGGACTATGCCTAGATTACTGAACTTGATTCTGGGAACCCCAGTGTCTCGAGGACCAGTAATGCAAGCAGGAAAACAACCAAGTTGGCATGTGAAGGGTAACTCCGAAAACCAGAGGCATTTAGCTTGTAGAGACAAGAAATCCTAGGATGTGACTGTCATCTCTTACCACCTAAAGAGCTATTGAGAGGAGAGGATAGATTTATTTTGGAGCCCTTGAAGGGCAGAATCCAGATCAATGAGTATTAGTCTGATAGAGACAGACTTCAGTTACAGGAAGAAAATGACCTTATGAGAGAGTTCACAAATGGGGTCAGAACTACCTTGGTAGATATCTCCTTATCTAAGAATATATGTGAGGGCTAGTAATTTTGCTTATTGGTAGAGTGCTTGCCTAGTATGAATGAGACCCTACATTCAATTCCTCGGTATCATATAAAGAAAGAAATAGATAAAATTAGTAACATTTTTAAAAAACTATATAAAAAATAATCTATGCAAGCGGGCACCTACTTGGCAAGGATCCAAGTGGCAGAAAATGGTTTCAGAGAGTGCTATCTAACTTGAGATGTCTGGGGTTTTATGACATATAAGGATAGGGTCAAGAAAAAAATTCGGATAACTAGAATTTTAGAACTTACCTAGCTTCCCATTAGAAGAAGACATCACCACAACCAAGTCTATCAGCAGAAAGACTTGTGGGCTTGCAAGCATCACGCACGCATGCACATACTGTGGACAGCTCCCTGGACTGAAATCTATGTGTAATCACTCACAACAGGGGACTCCCAAATGTCATGACTCACCCAAAACACCACATTTTTAAAAGAGCAAGAAGCCACCAGTGTCACATTATGGCTAAGATGGTCCCAGGTTTCATTTCTCAAACGACCACCTCCCTAATGGGTAGGACTTAATACAAAGAAAAGAACCCTTCCTTTCCTCCCCTGAAAAAAAATCAACCCTCAGTTGCTTCTTCTATTAAAGAGAGAGTGAGGGTGTGGGGGAGAGGGAGAGAGAGAGCTTTATTTAAAAATGGGGAAGGGAGCAACTGAAACCAGAATGGTACAATTTAATAATTATTAAAACTCAGTGCTAGGGACACAGGTGGTCACTGTACTATGCTGTTTTATAAGTTGGAAGTTTTATGAAATAAAAAGTAAAAAGAAAAAAAGATAAGGTATTTAAAATTGCTTCTATCTTATGTGAAAGTTGTATAGCTTAAAGAAATTATTATAAGGGATTTTTACAAATCCTAATTGCTACCAGGACTTTTTATCATATTTAGTGACCAACAACCATGTAAAACACAGTTACCATCTCCATTTGGCAAATGAGGAAAACAAGGCTCAGATAAACAGCTGCTAACTAAATAGCTGGCACAAGGCAGCTGAAGCTGGGGTTCTTTGACTTTACCTGCCCAGACTTTTTTTTTTAATTCCAGTAGCTCTACATGTTGGTTTATACCATGAAAATGTATTTCCCGCCCCCCCCCCAATGTAAGTTAATGGTTTCTAGCTCTTTTCTCAGTAGCACAATTCTTTGCCAATATAACCTTACTTAGAACTCCGGTGAGTAAAACAGAATAAGCTGAACAGCTCTGGATGAAGTGGAGATCAAGGCCTACCACCCAGCCTATTTCACTCCAAGGGAGCTGTTGGATCATCCTAGGGTCTGTAGGGCACAATGTGATGCCCAAGATTAAAGCCAACAGCAGTGACAATGACAAAGACACAAATGCCTCAAGTCTATGCACTGCATATCAAGGGTGGCCTCTTCTATCTAATGCATCTTTCACTTCCTTGTCTCCCATCACATTTGATCCTCATTATCAACTCTGAGGTGGACAAGGCCAAGCACATCATCCTCAATTTGCAGATGAGGAAATCAAGGCCAAATGGAGTGAATCAACTGGCCAGAGGTGCGCCAGTTCAACTTTCGGCCAAGTACAAACTGGAAGTAGACTCTGTCTCCATTAATTCAGTGTGACCTGGCAGAGAGGGTGCCATCTACTGGAAATTGCTACTGACCTTTGGTCTACAAAGTGGACAATCAGCTCCTTGGCCAATGAGAGCTGAGTCCAGCCCCCAAGTCCCTTTGCCAAGGCTCTTGTCTCAGAGCAGATGGCAATGGGCAGGAGAGAAGAGCTCAGTGCCACCAAAAGGCCTGACAGCAGGATTTTGGCTGTAGGCAGATCATTCTTGTCTGAGCCATGCCATGCTGAGCACAGGGCCAGAGAAGAAAGGGATAGCCATAGTGCTTTTTGCCTTCATCTGTAGCAAGTGAAAAAGCTTGAAAAAGGTTAGCAGGGAGTACACAAGACATGAATGATCAGGTTTACTTTGCTTTTCTTCTTAGTACTTTGCTTAGGTATCCCAGAAGCAGAGGCAGCTGATAAATGCCTCAGCTCAGAGAATCTCTGAACTGAGCTGGAGCATGTGTTGGAGTAGACAAGACTTAATTATCACCTAATTATCAATTAGCACTTAATTATTAACACTTAGTCCATCTGTAAAATGGGGACAGTAATACCTGCTTCGTGGGGACTCTGGGAAGATTAATTAACATTTGGAGGCCACTGTGAAGAGATGAGGTATCAAATAAATGCTTATCAGTGGCACTTGTAACCCAAGGTGATCTCCTTCCCTTTCCTAACAAGGTTGGTTCTTTCTTCCTCTCTCTCTTTGCAAATATTCAACCCCAAGAATATCTCTGCAACTTTTACCCTAGTGGAGAAACACTTCGCTCTCCTATTTCCAGACAGGGGATTTTCCCATCCAGGAAACTGGCTATTTACAACCATCTTCCCGCACTTTAATTTTCTATTATGTCCTCTGAATATGTCAATGCCTTCCCAGTAAATATTTTGATGTGTGCTCTTGCAGGCGCTTCTGTGGAGGCTGAATGGGACAGCTGGCTCCCTGTATTAGGAAATTCCAGATGTGGTTTAAAACCAGCAGGCTCATCTGTGCGGATGCCTGACTAGGAAGGATCTTCTAGTTGCCTCTGGGAATAGTCATGAACCATCTAGCTCTCCACTTTGGCTAGGATGTCTCATCAAGAACTTCAGAGCCATTCTGGTGGGGTGGGGAAGGCGGTGTTTGTGCATTTAGCTCCCTTAGTGAGCCAATGAAAGGATGGTGTGCTATGCCACCCTGGCAGGGACCTTCCCTTGGGCGACTTTCAGGACCTTGGTCAGCTCTATAAAGGTTTTTTTTTTTTTTTTTTAGACACAGGACTACGGATGTGGAGGGAAAGAATTCAACATTTAAAGTTGAACCAGGCTAAACAGTGGTCCAGAACATTCCCCCAGAAGGTCAGAATTCAACTCCTCCCCTCCTCCTTTGCTGCCAACCAGATAGAAGGGTACTTACTCTTCTTGGAAGCTGAGCTCATGGTCTCTTGGAGTCCCAACCATGGGGGCAGAGAGCTGCTCCATGGTGGTCCTGGGCTGCAGGGTCTCAGGCAAGCCCTGAACCCTCTTCCAGATTTCATGGCAAGTCTTGTCTAGGCTGTCTTGGGGTGTGTCCTGGTGGATCCAGACATATCTGGGGAATGGGCCCAGGGCGGAAGGACGTTTGGCCACCAGGGCCGAAGAAGAAGGGAGTCCATTCCCACTGGCCATCCTTCTTTCTTTCTGGAAGCCCCTCTGTCCACCCAGGGCTGGAAGACAGAGGGACCATCCACCGCCCCTCATTCACCAGAAAGGGAGCTGAGGATGGGGCCTGGGAACAGCAGTTCAGTTCTGTCTGGCCGTTCCTCCAGCCAAGCCGTTATATTCAAAGGCCTTTGGTTTGTGTGGGGCTGGTGGACGGAGGGTGGCCTTCTTTGGGGCTTGTTTTGGCTTGTTTTGATTTGCTCTCCCCTGACTTTGGCCCTCCTCCCCCTCCCCCTTAGAAGAAAATATTTAAAAGTCAACAAAAACCAGTAGCTTAGTAACCGTGGAATCCCTCGGAGCTCAGGAACCAGGTGCCTGGGCGGGCAGAATGACATCTGGGAACAGCTGGAGGGGGAGGATGGGCTCTCCCCGCAAAAGCTGGCAGGCCCCAGTGGCGACACCCCGTGATTCTCTGTGGTGCCTGGGGCTCAGCCCATTCTTGCCCAGCAAGCCATACAGAGGGCGGGGTCGAGGGCCTGGCACCATGCTAGGCTCCGTGTGAGCAGGAGCCCACCATGGAGGCTCTGGAGCTTGGACTTTCCTGGGACACCCTCAGCCCCACCCCCCCTGACCACACGGAGGACTAAGGGCCCCGGCCCAGTCTTAGGGCCTGGCTTTTGCTCTCCCTGCTGCCGGCTTCGGTCCCTGTCTCCCAAGGCTGCGTGGCTGTTGCTCCTTCTGGGGAAACAATCTCCAACCTGCCACCGGGTGGGCCACCCTACTTGCCTAAGACCCACCGCCCCCCCAGAAGACACCCGCCCCTCCCCCGCGCGGGGCTGAGATGGGCACCCTGCGGGTCCCAACCCTTAAAAGGGCGCTGGTGGGCCAGGCGGGGCAGTTTGTCTGCCAATGGCTCCCAGCCCCTTGCGGTCCGTCGAGCTCTGGAGTTCTTTCTGTAGGTTCAAACGCAAACGGCTCCGTGCGCGTGCGCGCGGGCGCAGGGGCGGTGGGGGGTGGGGGGTGGGGTGGGGTGGGGCACAGACAGCTGGACCTCCCAGGGACTGAGGCAGCATCCTGTCCCTCCACACTCGCCTGCCCGTAGGTCTGCCAGGCTTTATTCCTAACTGCTTTTCTGGAAGGAGCTCTGACTTTGTGCCAAGAACTGGACCCATATTCAATCCTATTCAGGCTCATGAAAGGAGGACCAACTTCTCAAACCGTCCTGCACGATGGGAGGAAACTTGAGTTTCAAAGTCACAAAGGGGTTATTCCAAGGTCCACTAGGCAGTGGGAGACTGAGATTCAAACCCCAGGACTCTAGGACTAGATCCCTGTCCTTGACCTCTAGGCTGACCCTAGCTCTGAAGCTTGAACTCGGGGTCTTGTACTCTCATGTTGCTTTTTTTGCTCTACTGGAACTATTGCATGAGCCACAGCTCAACTTCCTGTGGGTTTTTTTTTCTGGTTAATTGGAGATAAGAATCTCATGGACTTTTCTGCTTGGGCTAGCTTCCAACCCTGATCCTTAAATCTCCACTTCCTGAGTAGTTAGGATCACAAGCATGAGTCACAAAGCCTGTCTGCCCAGTGGCTCCATTAGTTCTTCACTGATGATAGGTACCTGTTGCTCATTTAAACTGAGAGTTGACGCAACACCTCTGCCCCAGCTGCCTGACCCCTAAGCCAGCAGTTGTTCCCCACCCTGGGAAGGACTTCCAAAAGGCAGAGAAAGAAGGGAAAAGAGTGGAGGCAGACAGGAGAAGATGGCAGCCTGGAGAAGTCTGCAGGGTTGATACTGCCTTGTATTCTAGCTGTGTGAACCTGGCATCTGCTTTTCCATCCCCCAAGACCCATGTGGCCCTTCTTCTGTGCCAGGTTGAGTTGCTGGGCACTGGAAAAGCAAGAGGGTGAGCAAAATGTGTCCAGCCCTTGCTCTTAAGCAGTCATATTCCAATGGAGGAGGACAAATTGCTAACCAGTAAGGTGAGAAGCTATAATTATGGATGAAATAAAGGCTCTGGTAGAAAATACCTAACAAAGCTAAGCAATGGAGAGGGAAGGACAGGCACCATTAGATGGTGGTCTAGGAAGGACACTTGAGATGGATTGGAAGGATGACAGAAAACTCTGTTCTGAAAAATGATAATAACATTTCTGGCACTCAGTAGGCACTCAATAAATATTTGTTGGATGGACGGATAGTATACTGTCTATACAGTGTCTGGCATGCAGTAGGTGCCTAATACACAGTCTTGCTCTTTACAGATGAGCTGAGTTCCTGGAAATGTTGACTCTGAGTTTTGAAATCTGAGCTTCATCCTCCTTTCATTTTCATTATAAAATTGGAATTGTGCTCCTTTGGGGAAAATTCTGAGGACCTAGACTGAATAAAATTATAGTTAAGAATGTAGAAAAACCTTTTAAGATAGTGTATTTAAAGGAAAAGTGATCATTTCTGATGAAATATTAATAGTTCTGAAAATGTCACTCTGTGTTTGTGCTGCTTGGCATTTGGTTGGCTAACACCCATGCTTAATGCAGAGTGCCAACAACCCTGCATTGCCTAGGCCACAGGATTCAGGAAAGCCAGCCCTCCCCCTCTTTCTTTCTCTCTGTACCTTATCAGGAAACCATGCAGGAGGGACTAAATCAGAAAGGACTGGAATAAAGGGAAATACAACAGGGATAAGGAGAAAGGATGGAAGCATTTTTTTAAGTACACAGAGAAGTGTACTTATTCTGCATAAACATTACTGCTTAGAAACTATACAAAGTTACATCCTGTGTGGCAGCCACTAGCCACATGGTACCATTTGAAGTTGAATTTTACTTGTTTGTGTGTGTGTGTATGTGCCAGTACTGGAGCTTGAACTCAGGACCTGAGCTCTGTTCCTTAACTCTTCTGCTCAAGGCTGGAGCTCTCCTACAGCTCCATTTCTAGCCTTTTGGTTGTTAACTGGGGGTATGAACCTCATGATGTCCCTACCCAGGCTGGCTTTGACCATCCATCTTCAGATCTCAGTTTCTGGAGTAGCTAGGATTACAGATGTGAGCTACCAGCACCTGGCATTAGAAGTGTATTTTAACATTAAAAATTCAAGTCTTTACCTACACCAGCCACAAGGTGCTTTAGAGTCCAATGTGCCTAATTTTTATCATTTTGGACAGCATAGAGAACATGTCTATTATTACAAAACACATGGTCTCTAGAATCAGGCCACCTGGGTTCAAATTCAGATTTCAATAGTTATTATGTACCTTGTATTTTTTCCCCAGGTCTGCCATAACAAAGTACCACAGATCATGGGTTAAAACATAGATGATTATTTCCTCACATGTCTGGAAGCTAGAGGCTCAAGATGAAGGTGCTGGCAGGATGGGTTTCATTCTGAGGACCCTCTACCTGGTGTAGAGATGACTCTTGTCCCTTTGTCTTCACAGGGTCTCTCCTAGTGTATGTCCTTGTTATAATCTTATCTCCAAAGTACTCTAGTTATATTGAATTAGGGCCCATCTCTTTAAAAGCCTTACTTCCAAATGCTGCCTCATTCTGAGGGCCAGAGTTGGGACTTTAACATATGAATTCTGAGAGGGCTCAATTCAACTCATAAAACACTTGGTTTCCTCATCTGTAAAATAGCATGATGATAATGAATGCTAAAGAATGCTGACTTTGTAGAACTGTCCTAGTTGTTCTATTAGTAATTGCTTAACACATAGTAATTGTTAGTATAACACCTGGCCCAGCAGAAGCACATAACCCTGCAGTATATTGGTTTGCTTGTTGATTGCATTGACACACCTGCCAGTTTCTGAGCCAGAACTTTTGTTGGGGATGGGGGGAGAAGGGGGAGGGGAGACAACTGGGGAGATTGTTCCTTTCCAAGCTACTTTTTTTCTTTTTTCTGTCAGGAATGGTGTGGGGCTTGAACTCAGGACCTGGGCACTGTCCCTGAGCTCTTTTGCTCAAGGATAGCACTCTACCACTTTGAGCCACAGCTCCACTTTTGGTTTTTTTGAGTGGTTAATTTTGGAGATGAGAGTCTCACAGGGATTTTTCTGTTCAGGCTGGCTTGGAACCACTATCCTCAGATCTCAGCGTCCTGAGTAGCTAGGATTCCAGGCATAGGCCACCAGTGCCCAGCAGCTAGGCTGGTTTTGAGTATCTCTCTTGGGCCACACTGTGTAAAGCACAGGGACCAGAGATGAATCAAGTCCACTAGCCTAGACAGAGACACAGCTTCATGAAGATTTCGCATTAATGTTATTGCTTAGAAACTAAGAAGTTACATTTAATATGGTAGCCACGAGCCACCATGTGGTGTTTAAATTTTAATTAAAACAGAGCAGGTGTAGGACAGACGAGTTTATTCCAGTCTCCTTTCAACATGCATGAAGTTACATTCATGTTGCACAGGAATCTATGCACTCAGAACTACTGGATAGAGTCACAAAGAAGAGAGGCTTGACTTGGTCTTTGCTTTTTTTTTAGAGCCTGAAGTGTGGCGGTTAATAGCCACAGATGGTATTTTATCTAAGAATTATTTTTAGCTTGAAAGGGTTCTTAAATTCCCCCTTACTACCCACCCATATAACCCTGGGCGGGTTGTTCAACTTCTTTATGCTTCAGTTGGCTTTTCTACAAAACAGAGATAATAAAATACTGACCTCGTAGAGTTGTTTTGTGACAATTGAGATAATGCATGTAAAGAGCTTGGAAGGTAGTCTGGCACTTACTATGTTGCCTATCATTGTGAAGGATTCTGGGTATTTTTTTCCTCCTTTTCTGTGTGGAACCAGGAAAGCCACAGAGGAAGTGACACTTCCTACCAATCTTACAGAAAAGACTTTATCATCTGCCTCCTATCCTTGCCACAAATATAGACAGGTTAGAGAATCTGGCAAAGTAGGGATACCCTGGACTCTTAAGAATCTTTTTATTTTAAGTGGTAGTGGCTATTGTATTTTTATTGATTGATTGATTGATTTTTGTCAGTTGTAGAGCCTGAACTCTGGGCCTGGGCGCTGTCCTTCAGCTCTTCAGCTCAAGGCTAGTGCTCTACCACTTAAGCCACAGCACCACTTCTGGCTTTTTCTGC